TCTCTCTCTTGGGCCCTATCTTTTTTTTTTTCCTTTTTCTTTTTTTTTTTATTGCGCACATAGCGCACCTTCCTCAGCGTGCGCACCGAGCACAGCGGATCGCACGGCGCACAGTACGCGCGCTGTCATTCGAGCGCACAGCGCAGTGCGCACCGCTCCACACCACACTGCGCACTCGTGCGCTGCAACTATGATATATACCCTTAAAACACCCCGCTCCAACAGCACATGCACTGTTCATTTTTCTTGTCATCAAGTGCTGGGCCAAAATCTTCACTGCCCAGGCCCCGTAGAGGTTCGGTGGGGAAGCTTACCAAAACTAATTTCCCTCGTGGCCGGATTGCAGGAGGTGGTTTAAGGAAACCGAAGGGCCATAGCTCTGAAGAGTCTGAACCAAAGAACTGAAATGGAACCTTGTTGCACCTCTTTCTTAACTGAACACAGCATTCAGCTACACACATTGATAAACAAGTGGACAATTCAATCAAGGTTTTCAAACCCTCTAAAACACAATAATATGAACCATTGCCCCCATTCAGATGGTTTGCCAAGTTTTAAGAAAACTCACCTTATCGAATATGCCGGTTAGCTTGCAGGTCAGGTATAGTCCCGTGATGAGCGATGAGAAGAGGTGCCCATAAGTCTCGTTCAGGAAGAATCGGTACCAAACAGGAGCAGGCAACAGAGATCGGTAGAAAAGAACTGTATACTCAACCCACGTCAGAAACTGCGCCTGCATCACAATTACAGTCCTATCAGCACGGATAATGTCACATCGATATCAAAGATTCAATTCTGGATACAAGAGCAGCTATGGGCACGCACACTCACACATGGACTTTCCATGGATGTCCCCAGCCACAAGCACGACCACATTCAACGGAAAAGCCGTAGTGTGAATATGCCCTGCACTCACCCATTGAACTGCTACCGTACCTCCAGCCCAACGCCGGTGGATCTTTCGGCAAAAAATCCACAATGGCTGCATGGAAGGAGGCCCAGTGGCCGAAAGTTGGTTTGAAGTACTACAACCTCAGCACTGTTGCAGCAGGCTCTCGCACACTTAAAGCACGCAAAAGCATTCTCGCCAACTTAATCGAACTTTCTTTTGCACAATCACAACACTGTGGGAGTACATTATACTAAAAAAAAGCACACAAAAGCTTCAAGAAATATCTTCACACACAATTGTCGCCTCCCACTTAATTCCCGCCTGACAGAGTGAAATAATGGGAGGCAAGAAGCTATCACTGCACGAGCAGTGACAATACCCCGGGTGGACATTTAGAGGGTTTTGCTTTAAATAGCGAAGTTCCAGAGAGCAACAAGACGAAAGGGAGGGAAACAACAATTAAAGAAAATATAAAAGAGCATGCCTACCTGTCGTCGGGACGATCGGCCTCGGCTGTGCTTCTGGGTCGCAAGGAAGGCACATTTCACCACCATAGCCCCGAAACGAACAAGCGTATCTGGCATTAAAAAAAACATAATAATTCATTCAATCAGTGCCCTTGATTCTAATTTCTAACGAGTCCAAAGACTCCAAAAACATATCAAAAAGCTTTCTGCAAAAAGGAGAAATGCAAAAGCATAGCGAATTATACCACACCACACTGCAATGCCAGGGGGGCCCTGGTGACGCCCAGAATTCCGTTGGACACTGCAAGAGCTGAATCACTGGCAATCTGGGTTGGGGAAGAAGGGGCGGGGATGGAATAACAACATCTCATCATCACAAATGACCAACCATTGGAGCTTACTGACAACTTCGATGGGGATACGAGGGGGGGGACACAAGGTGTGCAGAAAATACTTCTCGAATAGTGCGACAGCCCATGGGAAGGAGTTGCCCTGCTTGCCCATCGGTCACTCTTGGGGGGGAACCAACAAGCTCAGCGCAGAGACAACCAACCCAAAAACACCCCCTCGGATTTCCCATACCCTTCCTTGCAGATCCCCCCCACCCCACCCTTTCTCACCCCTAATTGGCACCCCAATTGGCGGGGACCGAACGAGCTCAGCGCAGAAACAACCAACCTAGAACCCTCCCCCGGATGTCCCATACCCTTCCTTACATATCCCCACCCCTCACCCACGCCTCACCCCTGAAGAGCACCCCAACCCCCGAGGACGGCGAGGAGCCATTGACCTATACATTGGTTGCAGAGGAATTTCTGCCCACGGGCCCCGCACCTAACATACACATAAGAACATACTCTTTGACACACTTGTACCAAAGAACACCTGATGCACAGTTGTTATTCCCACTACCCTTCCCAGCTCCACCTGTTTCAGTCCCATTTGGCGTCGCTCCCAGGAGGAGAGGCCCCATTGTACCATACCTGCAAACGAGTTTGAGAGTTCAAATGCGTCCCTGTCAGCTGATAAAAGTGGATGCAAGCTAACAGGCAGCTGTCCAGCTGACGGATCACAAGATTCTGAAACATATACCGTCGTCACGTATCAATCAACTGAAGGAGTGCACTTTGCGAACCGAACGATAAGACACACTGCTACAATTTCAAAGTAGAAAAAGAATGAGGCATTTCAATAAATACCGTTGATTAGGATAATCCAGATAGCCTCCCAGAATCCTGGAATTCTCTTGAGCCGGAGGAGGAGAAGCCGTTTCCAAAGCTCTTCGGAATTGTACCACCAGTAGACACCCCCAATGTGTATAGATAAGCAGAACATCTGAGCAACAAGATACAATGTTCTTCTGTCACCCTGCACACAGCACATGTCAGATTTCCGTGGATGGTCAGTTCTGAAAAACGCAAACCACAATCCAGATTGATTCAGGTCAGATCCCTCTGACATCTGTTCCTCCTTGTCATTCAATCCTCTAATATATTACAGAATGTAAAGCAGATCTCAACTCATCTGTTAATCATCAGTCACACGGGCGACCTCGCAAACACAACCATAGGCCTTTACCAGAGTCACGGTCTTCAGCCAACTACTGTAGGACGCCCGGTCATTATCGCTGTATCTAGACAGATAGGTGCCACAAAAACAATACAGCTATAAATGACCGCGCGCTCTATTGGGGTGAAGATGGCAGTTTCACTGGTCCAGCTCTCCCACTGTGCAATGGCCTGTGTTCTAACTATCGTGGTCCCGGTCCTTAGAGCTGTCTCTGTGGCAACTATCGGTCTCGACACGGGGGTTATGACCGGGCGTTCTGACAGCCAATATCGTGTCAAAATAGGCGCTTCATTCACCTTCTTTGCTCATCTTCTTCGCCACATCTTAAAGCACCAGTACACCACACATCGGCCCGCGGGCGTCAGCACAAAACCCGCACCACTTCGGAGGCCGCCGATGTTTTTTTTCAACGGCGCTCCACGCCGCGCAGCCCCTCCGAGTCTTGCTTGTGGCGACAAAAACTTTCTGCAAGGCTGGGGCCGTGTACTCGTGGTTCAAGTGTTAACAAGCCAAGGTCAACCTCTTCTCAACTCTCGTCATCACACTGCCTCGGCATTATTCATACATCGTTTGTCACCCAACCAAACCTCCTCCCGCCCCTCTCCCCCCCCCCCAAAAAAAAAAAAAAAGTGGTCAAGTGGACCACGGATGAGATACTAAACTGATCCAAATAAGATAGTACACTTGATCTTCGCCAAAAGTCTGACTTCTCAGACTTTGTTCATTCTCTTCTGCTCAGAAACATGGCCAAGTAGAAATGAAGAAATGAGAACGGACAAGTCGACGACTGATACAGCTCTCTAAGCATTAGGTTTGGGTTAGGAGAGGGTGAGACACTAGGTCATTTTTCAAAAAGGCTGCCAAAAGCAAAATAGCAGGAAGCCATAAGACTAACTATAGCAAACGAGATAGCAGGAAGGCACATACGAATGACTATTGCAATCAATACACAGCTCTATTGGCCATCATAATCCTATGCGGACCGATGGGTTGCCGACTTGGGAAGTTAGACAATGTCCAACGGTTTATTTCAAGCACCTGAACGATGTTCATGCTACCAAGTTATCATCTCCGCCCTCTTAAGCGGGCTCTAAAAGCGCCGATGGCCATTGTTTGTCCCTTTGCAAGTCCAAAATGGGTCCGGCCCCACCCGCTCCGGGCCCAAGAGGTGGCAGAGGTGGGCCCACCAAACCTGGAGCCCTGTCCCATCCTGTGGTCCAGCTCAGGTCAGCTGGAAACACTTGACCAATCTCTGGCCCATTCTCAAAATTTCCAAAACCCGATAACATTTTACAATATCCAGAGCAGGGAGAGTGAAGCCGTCCACCATCCGTATGTGCCATGGGACCAAACATCGGTCGGACCTCAGGTCCTGGCGCAAACCTGCCTGGAGTCCACTGAGGATCCCTACCCTAGATTGTGGAATATATACCATGTTCCAGGTGCTAGTGGTGTCTGCTCTTATCAGCACCACTAACACTGGTGGGGGTGTTTTTCCAAACAAAAGAAAAAAAAAGGAATATATACCATGTTGGCACTTGAGAACCGTTTTTTTCATGGTCTTTATAACAAAATTTTCAGGATTTTTTTATGGTGGTCTTTTTAACAAAACTGCCCTTTTGAAGCAAACTTATCACCAACAATCCTTGAGCAAGCTTGACACACACAAACCTTGACCGAAAGTAAAAGACGGCAAAAAAAAAAAAAAAAAAAACCTGGGAAAATTTATCCCTAAACGCCCTTCTCCGTGCTTGGGGGGTCAACCTATGGGCTGAAAAGTGGGGGCCGCTGTTAACCACTTGTGGACCCCACACAGCGGAAAAGGCGAGAGCAGGAGAGCGGATGCCTGCCGGAGGACTCAGAAGGTTCATTCTTGGGCCCAGTAAGTTAAGGTGTATCTAAAGAGGACAAGGATTGAACTTGTTCTTGTCAGAGTCTGACCTTCAGGGGCAACTAAATCAGACCAACTCTACTGGACCCCAGCGGACCTACAGATATTCACGGTATTCTCAAGAGAAGCAGAGATTGGACAGGACAAAAAACAGCCGTTTTCCGCCTCTTTCTATCTGCATCAAGTCCGGCCTAATCAGTGACACCTGCTGAGGATGCAGATTTGCAGCCTGGTCTGTCCGTCGGAATTCTAGCTACCCCCATCCTACTCTACATTTCCAGAGAACTCGAGACAGTTCGTCCTAGTTTGTCCCAGTCTGTTTGTAAAATTTCTGCGTACTATGCCCACAAGCGAGACCACATACGTTTGATAATCTCAGATGTTTTGGAAATGAAAGACGTGAACAGGGGGCAGAGAGACTATTGTCGAACCAGCATCTTCTTTAAACCGCCAGTACACAGCCTCAGCCATGCAGGATTTCTTCGCGGCTCACTCCTATAATTTTGGAGGCTCAGGGCTACCAGACCACAATGGATGGCGGCACCAGCCACAAAAGAAAAAGTGCACCGTTGGTGGTTCGCCAAAAAGCTGGGCGCGCAGTTCGCAGCCCGTCAGGGGTGCGTTTTATGCCCCAGAGAACATTTTTCGTCATTGTTCGTTATACGGTCGTTGGAAGGCTGGAAAAACAAGGCATGGCAGTTTAGGGGGTGGTGGCATCTTATTTGAAACTGCAGGACCGGTAGCTGCCCGTGGGGACCGCATGGGTTTTGGTCAAAAAATCGAAACGGGGCCAAAGCAGCGGCGGCCGCGCCCGTTGCCTCACTTTCGCACCCGTTCCCTCTCGGTAAGTCAAATGTCTCTCTTCTTCTTCCCTCTATTTTCAGTTCAGTGCACCCGGCCCTCACCCTGACCAGATGCATGCGCCACTTTTACGATCATGGCATCAAGGGCAAGTAGCGACTTCGATCCCGAATGGGCACTGGGCCTGCTAAAAAACAGGTCCAGCAAATGCCTCTGAGCCTCACCACACCACCATTCACAGCCCGTCAGGGGGCATCAACAAACAAACTACGGGCTGCGCACCCGTGCCCTCACGGTAAGTCAATGCGGCACTGCCAGGCCCGGGTGTGAGGGTGGTTTGAGCTCCACAGCGTCCGGAGTGACAGTAAGAGAGCCATGTATTTGTCCAGGTGAGGCCGACACCATGTTTATTGGGTAGGAGATACCGATAACGGATTGGTGGATGCCTAGATGTTAACGAAGCTCACTGCCACAGAGGCAGACGTCCGCTTCATTCACTCTCTCTCTCTCTCTCTCTCTCTCTCTCTCTCTCTCTCTCTCTCTCTCTCTCTCTCTCTCTC